GGAAGAAAAATGATTGCACATTGCAGAGCTGGTCAAGGATTTCCCGCTACATCAAGAACGAGAAAGGAAGGAGGGGATGACTGGCGGAAAGAAGGGAGGAAAGAGAGATTACGGTGGGAAGAAAAAGGGAGAAGGAAGCGAGAAAGAGGAAGGAAGCGAACGAGCGTAAATAAAGAGGCAAGAGAGGAGAGGTTGAGAAGGAAGCAAGAGAAGGGGACGAGCTTCTTTTCAGAGAGAAAAAAAATAGCAGGTCGAGAGAAAGAGTGACGCGACGCAATAGAAAGAGAGGGGGTTGAACAGGGAAAGGGCGCTCGACGCTTCGAAGGGAAAAACGTAGAACAAAATGGGGAGAGAAGGGCGGCCAGAGTTGCGAGATAAAACATGATTGAGGGGCCACAGGCAGGGGGGAGGCGAGTCGAGGGAAGAGCAATAGGGAGAGGAACACGATATATATATATATACGGGGATAGAGGGGGATCGTGTACATGGGAAACGAAGAAGGTAGAAAGAAAGGAGAAGGTATTACAAGGGCTACCTCCTCACTCTCTCTCCACCCGTAATAGCGGAGAGGGTAAGAGAGAACCGATGGGTGGGGGCTGCGACAGCAGGATAACGAGACGAGGCGAGGAGTGCGGGAACAGGCAGGGTACGGTGAGGGGGAGAGGGGGAACTGGTAACCCCAGCTGGTAACGACACGCGGGAAGGGGACGTAGTGCCGCTGTGAGAGGGGCAATTCAATGTGTTGTACTAGTGTGAGGTACGTATATATACTATCCAGCCGAGAAGAGAAGGCACAAGCGAGGAGGTACAATCAGGAGCGGTGGGAGAAAAATAAAGAGGGAGAGAGAGAGACAAGTACATGAGTACATGCAGGACGATGAGGAGAGCTAAACGAACCAGCAGAGTTAGTTGCATCGGATCTGAAGGACAGAAGGGAGAGAGGAAAGAGAGGAGAGAGAGAGAGAGAGAGAGAGAGAGGATGAACGACGTCGAACGGGGCGAGAGGATGAGGAGGGGGAAGGGGAGAGCTGAACTGCTGCGAGAGAGCGAGCGGAACGGATAGGGGAAGAGAGGATCAGAAGGGACTAGAAAGGACGGGAGGGGTGAGAGAGAGAGAGCCCGCAGGGGAAAGGGCATATCCCGTTCTACGTCTCTCGTTTAGTTCGGCATGAGACGTCGTCGGTGGAATGTATATCGTTGCGCGCGCTTTCTCGTCGCCCGCCGCATCCTCGTCCCCGTATCCCGCGCCAGCCAGGAGGACCGTGCTTGTGCGTGCGGCCGTCGTGCGTTTAGTTCGCGTGTGCGCCGCGCGGCGCTGCTCACCGGCTCGCCGTGAACAATTTCGTGACCGCCCTTGTCCGCTGCAGTTTTCTCGCCTCTCGTTCTCCTTTTACGAGAAGCTCCTCGATCTCGCATCGGGATCATTTCTCCGTCGTCGGCCACGACGGCGCCGAGCAAATCGTCGTGGCGGACATGGCAGATCGCGCTGCCCCGATCGCGGTTGATCGGGTCTGGGAATGACGCGCGATCTCGCCGTACCACGCGACATCGCAGTAGTAGTAGTAGTAGTAGTAGTAGCAGCAGTAGTAGTAGTAGTAGACTGCACAAAGAGAGAACCCCGGAGAAGGGCGAGAAGGAGGGAGGGAAGAGAAGGTAGTGAAAACTCGAGACGTTGTCGTTCTGGACCGTCGTCCGTAGGCGCTCTTGGCACATACGTGGTGTCCGTCGTGTCGCGCGAAAGACGCGTCGCCGCTGTGTGGTCTACGCACGCGCGCGCGCGCAGAATTCGCTCGTGCTCCAGAATCGTCAACCGGGAACACATAGGCGTTACTCGTCTCTGCTGGCACGTAAGTATATCTAGATAGTATATAAATGTATATAATACCACACACACACACACATACACACACACAACATACATACACACATATATACGTACATACATACATAAAATAAAAATCTACGTAGATACACATATACATGCATACCGGTGTATACAGAGAATGCTTGCGCTTGTGTGCCGTGAGATGGAGCGACGAGGTGGACGGACGGTTCTCCTCGTCTGTTTCTCCGTTGTCCCCCGCGTATTCTCTCTCCCTCCCCCCGGTCCCCCTATTCTCTCTCTTTCTCTCTCTTTAGCGCACATACTTGCATTTATGCGTTTTCTCGTTCCGCACTGTTCCGTCCTCGGAATCGCATGGGATTCGTTCGTAGGCAAACATACTGGAATAGGCATCCGAGAGAGTGAGACGATTGGACTGTATTAACAATCCAACTGTCAATTACGACGTTGAGATATAATGTATTTTAGATGCATTCTGTGGCTTCATAAATTGCGCGATAGAAACATTTCTTGAAAAAACAGTTCATACATTTCACTGTTTTATTATTGTTACTGTACCGATGTAAGTAGCGATATAGATAATTGCAAAGAGAAACATATACATATATAGATTAATCATTACTTATTGTTAGTCTATCATGCTAATTTCGTTATAAACATTGATCACATTTTCTTTTCCAAATATCTCAAACTGCTTATTCTAAATTAAGATATAATTTAAATATCAGCTCTTTTTTTTTTATCGAAAAATATATAAAATATTCGAAGAATATATTTTATTATCGTAGACTTAGTACGAATGATTTTTTAATTAATTTTAAATGATTCTTATATTTGAACAGATTCTTAATACGAAATAGTTTCGAGAAATTCCCGAAATTTGCTGGTAAAATTTACAAGAATTTTCACGCGAGGAAAATTTCTCTCTCATAAAGCTGTCACCATTCATAACATTACCATACAAACACAATTCGTCGTGCGTACGTTATATTGTAAGAAAATTGGAAAGTGAAAAAAAAGACGGAAGAAAATGTCGTCAAAAATTGAATTTTTTTCTCGCAATATTCTGCATGATGATCTTAATCTGAGTCGCGTTTGCATATCTTAAATGTTGACGTTCGAACAGAAAAAAAAAAAAAAACAAATGCTTTTTTCACAAGCTCTTTGATATGACAAATATTAAAAATATCAATTTCCTTAATTTAATATAATCACAGAGAAAAAAAATGTACTTTGCTACGGCAGAGTTGGAAAAATATCTTAATAAGGATTCTCTTTATTTATCTTTATCTCTTCACTTTTATTACGAGAGAGACGCTTGATCGATCCTTAAAATGTTATATTCGACTTCCGATCTCCCGTTTATGCGATCGCGTATTGAATGGGATTCTTACAAAAAGCCAATCGTCCTTTCCTTCCCGCCCTTAATAACGGAAAAGCCAAGTTGCTCCCCCGATGTCCGCCTTTCGCGGTCTCTGTGTCTCTCGTCTGGTCGCTAAGTGACTGCGAACGGCAGTCTGGTAGGGTCGCCTTTGCTTTTCGCAAGTGTCGTCTAATGTCGTGACGATATTTCGTGAGCAGTCTGCGATCGTTTCTTTTTCCATTACGAGAACTGAAATTGAGGATTACTTATTATGTTCGCCGTTTAATACAGCGTATAGTTATCAAAATAATTCATACTAATTAACTTAAACACGACTCTTTTTTTTTCTTCATCATAAATTGATTGGAAATATAATATTATCATATAGGAATATTTGATGCGATAACATCTACTTGCAAGTATGAAAAAAATGTTATCTTCCCCCACTCCCCTGCTCTCATTCGAAATTCAAGTTGTCAAAACATGTTGGTTATAATATAAGAAAAATAATCGATGTTGAATAATAATTCATGTTAATCTGAGATGCTTAATAATTACATTCAAGAAAAAGCGTGCGCGAAATATATTAGGGGAATAATTCTTTTATAAAAAATAATAAATACGTAATTTTTCGTGAAGAAATTGAGAAATATTATCATATAGGAATATTTGATGCGATAACATCTACTTGCAAGTATGAAAAAAAAATGTTATCTTCCCCCACTCCCCTTCTCTCATTCGAAATTCAAGTTGTCAAAACATGTTGGTTATAATATAAGAAAAATAATCGATGTTGAATAATAATTCATGTTAATCTGAGATGCTTAATAATTACATTCAAGAAAAAGCGTGCGCGAAATATATTAGGGGAATAATTCTTTTATAAAAAATAATAAATACGTAATTTTTCGTGAAGAAATTGAGAAAGGAACATCTAAATAAATTCTAATCTACGTCTTTCGTGACACGAGATTCCGATACGTGCATGAGAAATCTCATAGGAAATAAAGAGGAAGCTGCGACAGACGCACGCATTATTCAATACTCCGAAAGGAATTCCATTACAAAAGCCGCCTTGAGCATTCAATTTTGTGCAACTTTTTACGCGACACGCTGACAGGAGCGCAGCAACGCGCGTGAGATCGACCACTCGTACCACGTGTTAATTTCTGAAACACGTGTCGGTATAATCTCAATTACATTGACGACGGTCTCGATCAGGTTAGGTTAGGTCTTCGATCCTCAAACTTTCCTTCCTTGCTTCGACAATATATATATATATATATATATTATAAACATGTCTACTCAAATTTTATAAAAACTTTCTCTAAAAATTCTGATCTTCCAGGTATTTTTATTCAAAATTCCAGAGAATAGAAATTCCAAAATAAAGAAAATATTTTGAAGATTTTCTGATGCAACTTTCTAAAATAAGTTTTTTTATTGTATGCATTTTTTTAATGCTCTTCTCTCATACGATACAGAGTTACTTAAGTTTCAAGTGCTAGATTTGCAAATGTATACTAATATAATTTGTCTTATCAACGGATTGCCGACAATATATGTAAGAGCATTATTATTAAAAAGAGAATTTTTTAAAAAAATTCCTGGAGTCCTAATAAAATTCCATGAGAATTCTCTGATTTTCCCAGATACAAAAGAAATTCCTGAGAATTTCAGGTTTTCCATGTTTTTCCAGGAAATAGATATCTTGATAAAATTAGCATTAATAGATTATGATATCATTTGTATCTTTTATTATTCGCGGATTAATTGATGTAAAATACCAAAAAATACATTTGTTATTATTGTCATTTATGTGATTAATATATCTGAGATATTATTTTTGCGAGATAAATCTGTCGTTTCAAGAGAGATCCGCGACGTCGTTTGCCGTACGTCGCGCTGAGAATTTCGCTTCTTCGCCTCTCGGAGCAGCCCGGTATAAATAGACATAGTGCGCTAGACATCGCAGAACGCGTTACCTAAGGCACACGTTTCGCAGATTAAATTATTCGAGTAAATAACGACGAGAAAGAACGCCGTATAAAGTTAATGGTCGAGCGGATTCTATTCCGTTTCTCGATATTATTCACATGCTTTTATTTTATAAATTGTATACGCATGCACATAAATGTCGATCATAGATAATCTATTATCTGTGATTTATTTCTAGTTGGATAAGGGAAACGTAGTGTGGCGATTGTCGTGGTTATCGCTGATTGAATTCGAAAGATTACTTTTCGCCTTTTCCGCATGTATGAAAAAGTATATATTTTTCTGTAGCAATAGATTTTAATTGAAATCGATAAAATGGAATATTGGATGAAGGATAATTAGCAAAATTATTTATATTTGTCGGATAGCTCTACGAATATTTTCGCGAAAATCTTAAATAAAGATATTAAAAATAAGTTGTAGAGAAATAGCTGATAGATAAAAAAAAAAATAAATATTATAGAAAAATTGCAGATTTTATATGTAAAGGATTGTTTCAGGTTGTTACATCAGAGATCAAAAAAATATAAGTATATTTGTAACACAAATATTGAGTCTACTTATAAATGTGAAAACTGCTTAATATTAGCAGGAGATTATTTATTAAGTGTAACTTTTATTCTTTTTCGAGTCTGAGACTCTTGATACGTGAAGGCTCAATTACATACACAAAGATATTTAATATCAAAACCAAAAGTCAAGAAAACCTTAGAAAATTTAACAATTTTATAATTCGACATATAAGATTTAATTTATTCAACGGTTATTAAACATTCTTGAAAAATTTGCATTGTTTGGCTTAAATATAAAAAATATTGTAGGTAGTACGATTATATATATGGGCTATGCATCTAACGTTGCGCTCGCGACACGTGTTGCGCGGCAACAGAATTAAATAACCGACAGAAAACATTCAATCGGATTTATAGGAAGAAAAAATGTATTAGGTAAAAATAGGTATGTAAAAATCCCACCACAAGAATTATATGTTAAACATTTAAACAATTTTCTACTTGCGTAATTATTGTTTATCAACGGATGTTATTTGCAATAGAAATTCTATGAATCGAAATAAATACAATAAATAAAATTCTTGCAGCAATTTCTACATTATCTCAGATTATTTGCATTAAATAAAATTAAAAATGCATTATTTTGTTGAAATAATCAGGAATATATTAGACTTCAAACATAGATAGATAATCATGTGAGAGAGATGAAAGAGTAATATTTATATTATATTTTAAATTTTCATTTATATATTATACTTTTGGATAGAATATCTTTGCCTGTTAGAAACATTACACTCTTTTGTTTCCACTCTGTATGACATTTCTTTTTAAACCAATTCACTTTCTCTCTCGGAAGAAAACAGAAAAGCGTCTTTTTGTTCCGATCCTACACGAAATTTCTCTTTTAATTGGGAATAAAAAAAAAAATGGAATTCACCCTAAGCAGCGTGCTACGACAAAAAGACGCGTCACGATGTATAAATGGCGGAATCTATGGTGTTCCTGTCGACAACACGTGTTACGTTTATGGCGACGCACAGCATGCTGCTTGTCAAGTCCGACAGTAAACGCAATTTTCGAATTTCCTCCCCTCCCCACCCACCAAAAAAAGACAAATTTTCCGTAAAATTCGCGATTCTTCGCGTAACGCAAATAACTAGGTGAGTCGACTTATCTCGTCGGGCCGTAAAATACCGCGATATTCGATCAATACCGCCAGGTATATTCGACGAGCGTACACACACGCAAATATACACCACGTTGCAAGGGACGTTTGGCGGTTTAACCGCACCGCCGGGCGAGCGGAAAAACGGAAAGGACGATTCTAAACAGAGACGGGAAATGTACCCGTATATACCTTCCTACCTACAGACGGACTTTTGAGCCCGTTTGGTGGGGATGACAACGGGTGTATAGGGGAATCGCACAGCTACCTGAGAAACCCTCGAAAAAATTCAACTAAACTTACACATAATGACATATCGCTGGAATTTATGTATCAGTAAAATATGGATTGTTACCAAAGTAACGAAATGCAAGACAATTTCTTTTATAAATACATAATTTTCATGATACTTTCAACGGATATTCTACATGCACATTTTATTATATCTAATTCATTCGAACTGTATATATATTATAATTGCATTAATGCGGAATTTTTGGGAATTAAAAAATACCGTAAGATTTCTTACGATGCTCTTTAATTTCTCGTGGAATTAACACACATATTGATAATAATAATCGATCGAATCCTAAAGTTTAGAATTGACAAATTAAAAATGACTGCGTTTCTCTTTATAGACTTAGCGTTTTGCAATTCCCGACGAAGAAATGGCTGGTATCGGCAAAAGGATGCTCTTACGTGATATTAATCAACATTTGATCTGTCTACTGTGCCGAGGCTACCTCATAGATGCCACAACCGTGGTGGAGTGTTTGCATTCCTGTAAGTAAAGTCGAGATTTATGTAGTTCAGATTTTATTACTTGTCAACATATATGATAAACTAATATGTCGCATTTTTGCCATTCAGTTTGCAGAAGTTGCATATTAAAACATCTCAGCACTTCAGCGCAGTGCCCATCGTGCAAACATGTGCTCAACAAAGCGAAGCCAAATATCAAGTATGTAATCATATGTTTTTATTGTTTTGTATTGTTCGAATAGTTTATACATCGTCCACTTCCACTTTTGCAGTAATAATAAACTGTTGTTTGGAAAAATAAAATTTTGTTCTTTGTTAAAAGATTTTTGATTACATGAGTAAAATAATTGTAAATATGTAATATCAAAAAATAGTTTTTTTATATTTTAAATAACGAAATATCGATTTCAAAGTGGTCAAAGTGAATTCCCGCGAGTTGCATTATATATAATAAAAAAAAAACATCTTTTTTTAAATTTTGTGAAAATTGTGATCTTTTTGCAGAGCCGATAAGACGTTACAGGAGATCGTATATAAGCTGGTGCCTGGGTTATACCATAGAGAAATGCTAAAGAGGAGGGAGTTTTACAAAAAGCATCCCGAGCACGGTAATTAATCTAAGATCTCATAGTTTCTCGGATCTTTGCATGAGCATTCCCGTTTAAGACTCCTGGTCTCTTATCGCAATTATATTTAATTATAATTAGAAATAAGAAATTATTTAAATCTTTTCTCGAGGTAACACATACTAATTTATTTTTATATATAATATAAAAAGAATTCATAAAATTTTTTGCTTTTGATATTATTCAGTTCAATATAGTTTAGACCAATAGCCTTAATATAAACGATATACTTTGAATATTATATCTCAAGTTTTCAAACAATTAGCGAATCTAACAACGCCGGAGCAACGCGGTGAAGATGTGAGCGGACGATTAATATTTAATCCTGAGGATGTGGTGAGCTTAAGCTTGGAATACCTGCCGCCAGAAGCAGATCCGCTGGATATATTGAGTATCAATGACACGGACATGAGCAATTCGAATAGCGTCAACAGCTGTGGCAATACCAATAACAGTAATCACAACGGCAATACTGGCAACAGCAGGAGATATCTACAATGTCCGGCTCTCGTAACTATTGCGCATCTCAAAAAGTTCATATCAATGAAATACAGCGTTGACCTAACAAGATACACCATCGAGATTTGTCATCGACGCGCGACTCTTCCCGAAAACTGGACCCTCATGGATGTCGCTTATATTTACGCGTGGAAAAGAGTATGTATTATCTTATTTGTCTATCTCTCTTCGTGAAATAATTATTAAACGTCATATAACTAAGTCGTAACAATCTGTATGTGCGTGATGATTTTGTTTATCCATATATAAGAAGATTTTTATTTTTATATATTAAATATATAAGATCTCATTTAAATTGCCTTTCTTGCAGATTGCACCGATGAGATTTTTCTATCTAGTGGCGCATGAGCAGAGACTCGAAGCACCGCTGCACCAAAGACCATCGACTCCAGGATTGGGAGCCCGGGACTGTTTGCCGCCGAGCGACATTCGGAATAACAGTGACATAAACAGTAATCCCGTTAATCAGATTCCGGAAACCTCTAAATCAGAGGTTAAATCTGCGAGCGATAGCGATAGAACAACATCTTTGACGAAAAATTTGACTAAGATTGCAAGCAAGGTAAATACGCCCGTGGATTGCAAACCAACAGTGTCAAGCAAGAAAGACGAAACAAGCAAAACGACAACGATGTCCGCAACGTCGTCGACACTAACAGTGACGAGCACGACGACGACGATATTGACCACAGTAGCGACAAACATGTCTTCATCGACGACAACGACGACGACGACGATACCGACGACAACGACGACGCCGACGACGCCGACGACGACGACGATGCCGAAGCCGAAGCCGACGACGACGACGACGCCGATGCCAACGACGATGCTGACGACGCCGACGACGACGACAACGACGACGACGTTCAATGACTCGAACAAGCAAATAAAGAGTCCGATTAAGATAATGAAGAATCCAGACGGAAAATACGAAGTGCTGAAGAATCCGTCCACTCCTTCTACCGTGACGAACATTAAAAGCCCAACGAGTCCTGAATTTAGTGTCGTGAATTCCAACGGTGTCAAGATAACGCTGAAGCAATGTTCGCCGCCTCAAAATAATAATGCGAAAAAACCAAAAGTCATTAGCGATGTTCTGTTACGTTGCGGCCAAATAGAAAAAGACATGCCATCGTCGGGCGCGTTGATTCAGCGACTACAGCAGCAACAAGATAAGGATAAATTTACTACAACGGTATTGCCCGATAAGTTGGAAAAGCAACGGCGTAAAGTGACCTTTTCAGTAGATCGACCCCCGACGTCCGAAAAGACCTCTCCCACTAACGCCAGCGGTACCGTGCCAAAAACAGCGTTAAAGAAACCGGCGGAGCAGCAGGACAAAAAGCAATTTCTGCAGGGTTTCCAGTTGACCGCCCGGGAACCATCGGTGCCAAACGATAACAAGCTGATACCTACCATTCGAGACATTGGTGCCGCGGTAAACGCCCTTAAATCTCTTCAAAAAAATAACGCGAAAGTGGAGGAATCATCGAAGAAAGATACCGAGGATATCAAGAAAAAGAGCAACACTGAGAACGCCGGCTCGAATGCAAACGGCAATACCATCGCAACAAACGCAGTCGCGAAACGGAATCTCCTCGGAATGACTGCTAATTCACGTGCGAACAAGACTAACGACGCAAACGGACGTGCATTAAATTCGGGAGTCGGTTCAAATAGCACGAACATCGCGAGCAGCAACCATCTTGCCGCCAAGATGGATGTGTACACCTTCCCTAGCGATCCGCCGATCGTCGGCGGTACCGTTCTAGCCGTAAAGTTCGGAGCGGTAAAGAGGAAATGTCCGCCGGGTGTACCGATTGCCGATTTAAAACGTCGAAAATCGTCGCAGATAGCTCAGAGACAGGAATCTAACAAGAGACAAAACGTTTCTCCGTACAATTCTGCTAAGCTATCGCGTACTTCTTCCGCGGAGCATGTGATACCTACGAGCAGAGCGACCAATATATCGGGAGATTACGGTGGCAGTTCGAGCCGTGTATCCAACGCAAAAGCGTCGACCAGTCCGGTGCTGTCAAACGACACCAGGGATTTTCTAGTGGATGGCTACGGATTGAATATTCCAGCGAGTTTGAGCATAACGCTGACATCACCCAAGTCCCCGGGAGTTTCCGGGCAATTAGTCGAGTCCAAAGATTCCAGCGATAACAATCGCGGGAAGGTCGCGCTGGGCAAAGTGAATCCTAGTATCACGTTGAACGATCGGTCGGTCGATCCGCGCGTGTTGAAGGCTCTGAAGACCGGACAGATCAGAATGCCAGCCACCCCAGCGAAGGCCAAACCAGCGGCGGCAACGACAGCGACGACGAAACAGACGCCGATGACGACGGATCGTAGCGAGACAGCAACGAACCCGCAGCGAACGACGACATTTGCTGGCAAACGAAAGAAGGAACACGAATTATCCAGAGACATTCTGGATTTGAGCGGAGGTAAAAAGAATATAGATTTACACCCTCTAAGAATTCCTCAGCCGGTGACTAAGCTTAACCAAAACAAAACCAATAAGATTACTGGCAAGGATAATGTACAACCGGGTAGCATCTCCGATCAGGGCCAACTGGTGACGCTGGGCAACCATCTGTATTATCGAGCACCTCCGGGTTCTCTAACACCCGCCGCTCATCGTGTCAACGATTTTCCACTACCACCGTCGCCATCGCGCACCCCCGTTTACGCGCCGTGTCTCGGTTCCATCAATCGATCGAACTTGGACTTTTCATCTGCTTTTCCGACTCTATCGAGCTTTTATGCTCTGAATCAAGCGCCGAATCTTCAACAATTTCATATGGACACGGCGCGGCTGAAACTGCCACCACGTTCCATTGCAGAAAGCGGCGCAATCTCTGCCTCATCTGGAAGTGGTGACAACCCAGTTAATCCTAGTATCAGTGGCATACCAGGGAAGACTCATTTAGCCGCTCAGTGCGCGCCGGTTAAGCCCGCGAGATCTTCCGTAGCACCCTTGGCGGTTCCCATCAATAAGCAACAACAGTCTGCCGACAAATCTGCGAACGTTAATGCCAATCGGATGAATCTGGGCGATTCCTCAAGCAAACCTTCGGCTTTCCGTAATAACGAAAGTCACGTCTCGGCAGACGAAACTGTTCGTTTGAACGTCCAAAAAAGATTTTCCTCGAATGTCGAAAGTACAAATAACAGGTTTCTGTCACGGAACGAAGACGTAAAGAGCACAAGCCAAACCACGAACGAGACTGCTGCAGATACGAAAACCGAGCCCAGAAAAGAAATGATCAATCCTGACAATTCGATGCAACAGCGGCAACAGCAGCAGAATCGCGAGGCAGCGAGTCCTAATATCGTATCGTCGACGGCTTCGCCATCGCCACCTCCCGGCAGTGGTGGTGCGAGGAATGAGAGTAATACTAATCACGGTGACAATAATATCAACAGTTCAAACGGAGGTAATAACGGGACGTCATCGAGTCCTACGAAGAGCATCGCTTCCGAAGCGACGTGCAACAAATCGCCGGACAGTCCGGACTCCAGTTCGATCACGGTGGAGTGCAGTTCGGGTACGAGTTCGGGCAAGACGACGGATCGGGAAATGTCGACGGATGAGACGAAAACTCCGGACACGAATCCAACCGTCAATGATTCTACCGCTTCCGATGACAAGAACAAATTCGCCATCAAACCAGAAGTGAGTGAGATCGCGAAGCAATTGACTTCCGTGCAGAAAACGTTATTGGCGGTTTTTCCTTCGAACGAATGGGCGAACAATCCCATCGCCGCCGAGCATCTGGGAAACTTCTTGAAAAGTCTGAATGCCACGATAAAGAGCGAAGAAAGCGCCGACGAATCCAAGGCGGAGAAAACCGATCGGAAAACCGAGAGTAACGAGAATCGGTAATAACACTTCCGTTAATTCAAGGAAGATGAAGGCATGAGTAATCGCGACAATTTTACGGTATTGAAAACTATACGCCTGTATGGTGTTTCGAGTCATCGATGTGACAATTTTATATAGGATTTTATAGCTCATCTGGTGAGAAAAGACAGTTTTAGTTTCTTTCATCCCGATGATTGTTATATAGACCGGAGGTTTCATTGAATTCATTGTACATCCGATTATTGTATGCGATAACGCGCATACAAAACTTAACGAGAGGAATATGGGACACACGCAAGCAGACAAACGGATAAACTCTGAGACACTGCCACATGAATGGAAAGATGCGTGGAATCATTTTTTACAGGGATGCACACAGTTATTATAATTCACGCGAAGTGGGAGAGGAGAATCTCATAAAAAGAACGTTACATATATTATAGAATACACAGAATATACAAAATAGTATAAAGAGCAGTAGAGAATTTTATTTTTCCAAGTTTCTTAAAAAGAATCTTTCATATGCTCTAGAGGATGATCTATAGATTACATTATTGATCTTGTCAAATTCAAACTTGAAACATTCCGGAAGAAAGAATCCATTGTCTTTCTCTGAGAATCTTATATGCTGATACCAGAATGTAACTTTCAATCAGTGATGTAGATTGACAGCGACAGCTTATTTCACAAATAAACTATGTATTGGATAGTTTACAGTCATTGCTTTCAACATTTGCTACTAAAATCATGTAACAAAATCGCGTCTTTGTATATTCAATTAACAAGTGTTATAGCTGCGTTGACAGCTAAAAAGAAAAGTAACAAAAAGCTAAAAGTGGTCCAAGCAAAAACAAGTTGTGTAAACTGTATTTGCATATCATATATTTCGCATTGATTCTTTGATACAGATTCAATATCGTTTTTATACCATTTTTCTAAAATTTGCTAATGCATAATCAAATGCCAGGAAATGAAAAAGATTGCAAGATTGAATTAATAGGATAATAAAACTATTATATTATCTATATTTTATTCAATCTTTTATTATTGTACGCATATATTTCATTATATAACTTGTTGATTACATAAAGCTCAGATATGAAAGTTACTAAGTAGATGATGCGAATACAGTTCCACATGTACAGATCCGATACTATAAATTAAAGATGTCACATGCACAACATATTCTTGGAAAATGAAAAATACTTTTCAATCCAGTATTATTCTCTTACTATATCTTTTGTGTTATGTTTTTTTTATGTATTAGTTACATGCATAATGTCTATATGTTGTATAATTATTGTTATGTTATGCTACTGCTCACAAGGCATTTGTATTATATTAATTGTATTTTATTTGAGACTTGTACATATTTATGATTATTATATATAATAATGAGCGGATCATAGCAATGTCCTCTTCTCGAAATTCCTGTTATTTGATAAATCGGTAGTTAACCGAATGCGTTTCTTGTGTTTTACATATTAAGGATATGTGTAGTACGATAAGAGAATATATCGTTTCTATATTTGACATACAGTCAAATGTCCGTATTGTAATGTCATCTGAATTAAATAATGTCTTTTGACAAGATATTTCTTATTATAAACATTCTCGTCAGTTCCTATTCTTATTCCAATTCTCATTACGTCGAAAATGTTTGTTGCGCGCTTTATTTTTCATTCGCTTTCTCATTCAAATGTGATCACATATAAGGCAAATGTAAAAAGCAGAACAGGAGAAAAACATTCAATCTTTACGGACATATGATTGTATAATACATTATATATATAATTTGTATAATTATATTGTGTTATATCTTTACAATAAATTTCTTTTTAAGGTACTTTATAGATAATATATATTTTCTCTTCGTATCTCTTTATAAATAATATGTAAATGTGTAATGCATTGTAAATTATTTATTTACAGTCTCAACTTTCTCATTCTTAAATTTTTTCCTACATTTTATTGCTTTATTACGTCACATTTGCCACTTGGACATACATCGCAAAATGAAAGTGGCACTGTATATATTTTTATTCTGCATTATATACTATTGAAATCGAATGTAGGGGACTGTGAAAAAATGACAAGAATAAAAAAGCGTTTATCAGATCTTCTCCAACGTATTACAAAGACTTCGCACACTTTTCTATTAAATTATTGGAATGTCGCTGTTGCGGAAACACAATTTTTCAAAAATTATTCATTCCCACTCTTTACCGCATAGTTGAAGAAAATTGGATATAGAATTGAAAGTGTTTTACTCACAAATTTTACATACGTTTCCCGATAAACCAAAGGTTTTGATTGACTCGATTACAAGAGAATTCTCCTCTTCTAAAATCGTTGAGAGATTGGACTAATCTGGAATCTCGTCCATTCCCGCTCTGTTTTAGCACATGCGCAAAATCAAAATAGTCAATTGCGCTCTTTATTTCGCTCTACACATGGTCACGTGACACATGTGAATTTGAGCGTTTTCGGGCTTAAGGCCGTATAAAGCCCGTATCAGACTACATATTAGAGATTGAAATTTGACCAATCAAGATAAAAGGAACTAAAATTCCCTTGTCCTGATTGGTCAAATTTCAATTTCAATGCGTAGTCTGATACGGGCTTAAGCAAATCGACCAATTTCAATCAAGCATTCCAAAAACGTAATAAGAATGTTTAATTGTGATTGGTTAATTTACTTATGACCTTAAGCTCGTATCAGACTACGCATTGAAAATTGAAGATCGAAGATTAAAGATTAGAATTTGACTAATCAGAAGGAAAGGAACTAAAATTTCTTCGTCCTGATTGGTTAAATTTCAATCTTTAATCTTCAATCTCGATCTTCAATATGTAGTCTGATACTGGCTTTACGGATACAACTACAATTTTTTCACGTGCAAATGGCCTTCAGGATTGAAATTTGACCAATCAGGACAAAGAAATTTTAATCCCTTTTGTTCAGGGGGTTGATTGTGTATTTTAAAACGATGTGAAAATTACAAAAGTAAGGAAATTCACAGAGTATCTACGATTTCATTTGTCGAAATCTAGTAAATTTGTTCACTTTTGTAATTTTCACTTTGTTTCAAGATACACAATCGACTCCCTGATTAATCAAATTCCAATCTTTAATCTTTAATCTTCAATTTTCAATGTGTAGTCTGATACGAGCTATAGATATAGCCCGTGTTCCAAAATTCACTGCCAATACTGGAAATCTATAATATACGTAAACTATATATTATAATATATAAGCTCTATAATATATACAGGGTGCTCTAAAAAGGTACGGCCAAAATTTAGGAAGATATTCCTCACACCTAAAGGATGAAAAAATGTTATATGAACATGGGTGCAGAAACGCTTTTTTCAGGAGTAAAGCCCGGTCTACAATGAGTCGTTAGTCGTTAGTCGCAAGCAAATTGATCAACCACAGTCTATTATTCCAAGAATATTCTAGAAATAATCTATTGTGGTTGGTCAATTTGCTTGCGACTAACGACTAAGGACTCATTTTGAGTCACTAAATGGAAAGCACCCATTGTAGACTGGGCATTAGAGCTTCTTTTCTGAGTTGCGACGTTACGGCTAAATGAGGTAGTGACCTTATCTGCCAGGCAGAAATCAGAAAAATATTGACCTTTAATGTTATGGTTACTTGTTTACACCTAGACAATAGTAATGGCTGAATAACAATATGCGCATCCCTTGAAATCGGCAGAACATTGTAATCACATTTCAGTTCAATTCTGTAGATCGTGCGTGAAACAAGATTTATTGTAATTGTACAAATTTATCACAGCCATAGCTATGTACACAAATGCGGAATTTGCAGACATGCATTTCATTTATGGCTTGGCAGATGGTAATGGCCGGATCGCGAAGCGTTTATACCAGCAAAAATATCCTACGTTTGAAGCAATTGATCGTCGTCTTCGAGAGCACGGAACGTTTCAGCCAGCAACTTTCAACTCTAGAAGACCAATAAGAAGTACGAGAACTGCAGATGTTAAGCAGGCTATTCTGGATGCAATTGAACGAGACCCTGGAACAAGCGAGAGGAATAGCTGCTAATCTCGGGCATAATGTTACTCGTTTAATGGTCTGGAATGTATTGCATGAGCAACTTTGAACGTGTCCGTGAATCAATGCGTCGACGTGTCAATGCTTCTATTCGGGCGAATGGTGGACATTTTCAACAGTTGCTGTAACTGTACTCAAGGTCACTTTAAAAACGAATGTAAATAAATTTACTGATTAAACGATTGTCGTCCACAATATTTAATCCTAAATTATTTCTTGTGTAATAAGTAATACAGTCAACAGTATTTTCAACATAACTCCTGAAAAAAGCGTTTCCGCACCCATGTTCATATAACATCTTTTCATCCTTTAGGTGTGAGGAATATCTCTCTAAATTTTGGCCGTACCATTATAGAGCATCCTCTATATACAGGATGTCCTAAAAATAACGGGCTTCCTCTTAATGGCAGATTCCTTAGAACATTTCAAGACGAAAATCCTAAAACCGAGAATATATCGTTTTTTATATATTCTGATTGGTCAATCGTACTGGTCACCCTAGGCACCGATCGATATGAGTGGTTGTGTCCAATCGCACTTGTGCGGTCGGGAAGACGCTAGAGATGCTTTAAAGCATGATTGCATTAACCAATCAGAATAAAGAAATCTTTAATCTTTTCGTCCTGATTGGTCAATCAAACGCTTCGAGACATTTCTAGCGTCTTCCCGACCACAGTCCAAATGAACCTCTCCCGCATGGTCCTTCACTTCTCTCTCGCCCAATGAGTAAAGAATCACAGGAGAGAGCATTTGGTGCTAAGCAAGCGGACGGAAGTGACTATATATAAGTGGACACTCAAGATGGCCGCTCAGGGACGAATTGGAGCATGACAGAGATACTGAAAGTACCTCAAAGGCCTGGCAATGCACCATGATCTTACAATTAAAACTTATTAATAATATTTTTTTAGCCTAATACCGACTCTTTTTCTCACTTATTTAGAATCGATGATCGTGCGCAAAATAAGTGCAGACTGGAATAAATAAGGCAACAAGTGGCTGCACACGGCCCTGAAAAACGTCGAAAAAAGTGGACGCTCAAGATGGCTGCGATAACGTACTACCGTTCGCGATAAATCTATCCCCACCACCGATATGCTCTCTCATGTGATTCTTTACTCATTGCTCTCGTCAATTCCACGAGTTTATTCTCGGTCTCTGTGTCTATGTGCATTCCTATGTCCATGTCGTGTTGAGTGTGCCGTTGAGGTTATGTCGCGTCTTGATACGAATTTTGCGCGATTTATATAATAGTTTTCTTTTTCGCGCGCGTTTTTCTCGTCGTCGTCAAATTAATCGAGATGAACGCGAAGGAGAATTCCACGGCGCCAACGAAGAACGCGAGCGCGCCGAACGCGAAGACCTACGGCAAGATCGTTTTGACGTTGCAGAATTGTCTTCTGCCCGAGGAGAAGCTCAACTCGACTCCGTCGTACCTGGACGGTCTCGATGCGGAAACCGAGACGGATTTGCGAATACTGGGATGCGAACTCATACAGACGGCCGGTATCCTGTTGAAATTACCGCAGGTAGGTTTCCGCGTTTACGATACGCAAAAAACTCGAAACCCTAACCTTCATTTCAATTGGCATAACTTGCACATTCATTTTTAGTCGATAAACTGTAACATACTTTCTTAATCTAATCTTCTTTGCATTATCCGTTATTAATAGTATAAATTCTGTATATATAAAAACTATTTGACTATACATATATATATATATATATCTTTTCATTGTATTACTCATTTCCTTTAGATCAAGATATATTCACGGTTCATATATGTTTTAACGCACTTTAAAATGAAATTTTAAAGTAGAATTCAACTATATCGGAGCAATATGCAAACAGTATTGAAAGAAATATTTAAATTCTTTGAAATTTTGTAATAAATCTATACATTATACATATGCAATGTTTTTTTTATAGAATATTTAAAAATTGAGACAGAGTTAGAGAGAGAAACTTTAGAATACATTGCTTTTGATGTTATATTACTTTATTTTGAATTTTTTAAATATACATAAAGATATTATTACTTTAACCCTTTGCGGACAGACTTTACGATTGTATATTGTTCATTTAATGCAAAACTGACAAAAAATAGCTCAAAATGTATGTACTTTCCAGACTCTCTGAGGCTAATGTAAACAAATGAGCGGCGACGTGTGCGCTGGATTGTCGACGTGTGTCGCACAGCAAAATAGAAGTGTGTGGCGACGGGAATATCTCTACTCGCGTCCTTAAAGGGTTAAACATTGTTAATGTGTCAGAAATTGCAAAATGATGCAATCTAACCATCCTTTTTCTTTTCATATGTGTAGGTTGCAATGGCTACGGGGCAAGTAATATTCCAACGATTTTATTATAGCAAATCTTTAGTTAGGCATAATATGGAGACAACTGCAATGGGTTGTATATGCTTAGCTAGCAAAATCGAGGAAGCACCTAGGCGTATCAGGGATGTCATTAATGTTTTCAATCATGTAAAACAAGTTTCCAGCCAAAAGTAAGAGAGTTTGCTTTTGTCTTACTATATAAATAATTAAGATTATAAAATGCGTTATAAATAGAAAAAGAAAAACAATAATTAAATTAACCCATTTTTACAATTTGTTTTAGAGCGATACAACCTGTGATTCTCGATCAAAATTACGTAGCTCTGAAGAATCAGGTAATCAAATCAGAGAGAAGAGTGTTGAAGGAACTGGGCTTCTGTGTTCATGTAAAGCACCCTCACAAGATTATAGTCATGTATTTACAAGTATTGGGATATGAAAAAAACCGCTCGCTGATGCAGCAAAGCTGGAATTACATGAACGACTCGTTGCGCTCCGATGTTTTCTTGCGCTATCAGCCGGAGACCGTGGCATGTGCGTGCGTTTATCTCGCCGCTCGTCAACTGCAATTGCCGCTGCCTGTATCACCCACTTGGTTTTCGCTGTTTAAAGTCAACGAGTCATCGATCAGGGACGTATGTCGGCGCATACTCCGCCTTTATTCGCGACCGCGCGTGAGGCCCGAACAGCTGGAGAAGCGTGTCGAAGAACTGCGACGTCAGTACGAAGAAGCCAGGACCAAGGCGCGCGGTGGAGATGTCGACGGCCACACACCGAGCCCACCGCTACCGAAACATCACAACGCCTGGGGTGGATTCATCAGCCGCAGCGGTACTCACGCCGTTCCCGAAAGAACGAAATCACCCAGGTATGATAATGCAAGTGCAAATAAAAAAATGAAGGAAAGACGAAACCCAACGAATATTTATCATAAAAATATTGTTTAATTATTTTTAATTGAGGATACAATACGCTAAGATAAATGTTTCTAATTCGTTTTTTATAGCAGTACTTGCACTTTCAAAGTAATATCGCGTTTCAAAGATAGGAAAAAAAATCGCTTGATTGCTTCAAAATACATATGTCTCGATGATATTGTTTTTCAGACGTTCGAAATCTCCAAGTACTTCTCCATCGCGAGGCGAAGGGACAAAGCATTCCAAGCGAAAAAGACAGCACAGCAGAAGTAGATCCCGAAGTCACAGTCACGGTAGATCTGGCAAACCTAAAAAAATGCAGCGAAGACGATCAGGCAGCCATAAATCGTCACGAAGATCGCGGAGTTACAGATCGCGAAGTCGATCTCGAGACAGAGACTTAGAGAAATCGAGCAAACATCGCAGTAAGCACAGACGGCACTGAACGTTCCAATGAATAAGTGGAAATTTTGCATTTCACGAAATACGTATCTCACGAGTAAGACATTAAACAGTTGTAATCAATTTGTAATATATAGTGAAATTTTATATAGGCCTATCACAATTCTTTAGTTTATTTCGAAATTAACAAATGGATATATTCAGTTTCTAGATTATTTTGAAGAATTTCATTACGTGTGTTTAATAACATTGAAAAACATTGTTTCATTGTGAAACAGATTGTTATCAATAATATATATTATACATTGCATTATTGCCAACTAGTATTTTCATCATTTACACATTTACAGGTACATAATTTATGTTTAAAATTATTATGAGAGAGACCCTGACGAATGTGACTTTTTTAAAATACAGAATTTGTGAAGCATTTTCTATGCTTTGTACAAGTTCATAGAAATTTGTCAAGACAAAGAAATATTATAGGTAATACGACATTTGTATATTTTTGTATTGATTAACAGAATCATAAAAAATGTTTAATGAAAGTGAAAATGTCACAAAACAGTACTTGCGCATGCAACGCAACCTTTATGATTTCACTTCTAAGTTACACAAATATTTTTCTTTGTGTTCATATGAATTCCTAATTAGTTATTATTATTTACAACTGTAAGATTAGATTTTAACAATTGAATATGCATTATTCTCAAAAAAATATTAATTTGTCATGCAAATAGATTTTACATAGCTGAGACATACCTCAACCTCAATTGGTACATGATACAATATTAAGATATGAAAATGGGAAGATGTGTATATAAAATGTATGCAACAATATAAAAAAAATAAAATTTTATATTCACACTCCAGGCTGTATCATTTTAAAAAATCCTATAGGTAATGCCTTTTTTTTCTCAGCAGCAATCACCGGCGAAAAATCTAGGACAAGCAGCCGTGGGAGAAGATGTACGATGTAACTCCTGTAGCAGGGAATATCCTCGATTGGATTACCATGTAATGTCAATGATCTGAGATTCTGTAGTTTTCTCAGTCTCACAGTATCTGCGATATTTGAAATTTTGTTGCCATGCAAATAGAGTATCTTCAAGTTTATAAATTTCTCAATATCTTCCCCGATCTCGCTTATCTCGTTAAAGGAAAGATCTAACCAGCTGAGATATATTGGATCATCGAGAACTCTATCCACGAGACGTTGAAGACCTTCCATGGAGCTCAATAGATTGTTACTTAGCCATAACGTACTGGTTACATAACGATCCTTTAACGTTCTCGCTGGTGTTTTTCCCGTGCGTATTACTTGCGCGCGTTTCTCCATCAATTCTAAAAGCAGATAATACATTTTTTCATAAATAATAATAATTATGTATATATAATTATGTAGAATTTCATTACGTGTGTTTAATAACATTGAAAAACATTGTTTCATTGTGAAACAGATTGTTATCAATAATATATATTATACATTGCATTATTGCCAACTAGTATTTTCATCATTTACACATTTACAGGTACATAATTTATGTTTAAAATTATTATGAGAGAGACCCTGACGAATGTGACTTTTTTAAAATACAGAATTTGTGAAGCATTTTCTATGCTTTGTACAAGTTCATAGAAATTTGTCAAGACAAAGAAATATTATAGGTAATACGACATTTGTATATTTTTGTATTGATTAACAGAATCATAAAAAATGTTTAATGAAAGTGAAAATGTCACAAAACAGTACTTGCGCATGCAACGCAACCTTTATGATTTCACTTCTAAGTTACACAAATATTTTTCTTTGTGTTCATATGAATTCCTAATTAGTTATTATTATTTACAACTGTAAGATTAGATTTTAACAATTGAATATGCATTATTCTCAAAAAAATATTAATTTGTCATGCAAATAGATTTTACATAGCTGAGACATACCTCAACCTCAATTGGTACATGATACAATATTAAGATATGAAAATGGGAAGATGTGTATATAAAATGTATGCAACAATATAAAAAAAATAAAATTTTATATTCACACTCCAGGCTGTATCATTTTAAAAAATCCTATAGGTAATGCCTTTTTTTTCTCAGCAGCAATCACCGGCGAAAAATCTAGGACAAGCAGCCGTGGGAGAAGATGTACGATGTAACTCCTGTAGCAGGGAATATCCTCGATTGGATTACCATGTAATGTCAATGATCTGAGATTCTGTAGTTTTCTCAGTCTCACAGTATCTGCGATATTTGAAATTTTGTTGCCATGCAAATAGAGTATCTTCAAGTTTATAAATTTCTCAATATCTTCCCCGATCTCGCTTATCTCGTTAAAGGATAGATCTAACCAGCTGAGATATATTGGATCATCGAGAACTCTATCCACGAGACGTTGAAGACCTTCCATGGAGCTCAATAGATTGTTACTTAGCCATAACGTACTGGTTACATAACGATCCTTTAACGTTCTCGCTGGTGTTTTTCCCGTGCGTATTACTTGCGCGCGTTTCTCCATCAATTCTAAAAGCAGATAATACATTTTTTCATAAATAATAATAATTATGTATATATAATTATGTAAATAATTATGTAATAATAATTATTACTGCATAATATTTGGAATTAATTTGTAACAAAAGTTTTGTCAATATGCCTTCAACGCGACATAAATGAGTAATTACGTATTGATTTAAAAAAAAGTAGGTACCATCCATCGTGGTAGCTTTCCTGAACGATAAATCCAACGGTGGGGCGATTAGCATCTCTTGCTGCTCATTTCGTTTGTAATCCGAAGTGTGATTTTCCGAGGAATAATTAGCGTTCATTGTGAATAATTGAGCTTGTGTATCGGTAACCTTGTTAAATCTTGGAAAACATTCGAAGTTCATATCTCGCGGTCTATTGCAAGTTTGCCATAAACCACACAATAATATGACAGTTGAACGTGTAAACTCTAGAAATTCCCTAGTCGATAGCCAATCAGTATTGCCCTTTTCTAAAGTCGGTATCAATTTACGAATTAAAGAGATTAAAGATTAGAATTTAATTAATCAGAATAAAAAGATCTAAAATTTTTTTGCCACGATTAATCAAATTTTAATCCTTAATCTTCAATTTTCAATGCATAGTCTTTGATACGGAACTTACGAGCAGTCTATATATCCCATATGCCATGCTATGTTTTCAATAGAGCGTCTATTTCCCTTCCTTGTCACGTGACCGATTTTAAATCGCGCGTATCCGTAAACTTGTACCCGCTGCATAGGAGTGAGGGAATTTGAAAGATCTGTGGTTATCACGCTACGTTATTGTCGAAAATGCCGCGAACGAAGTATGCACGAAATAAAACTAAAGCGGGAAGCGATTCTACGAAAGATTACGATATTCTCGTACAGACCTTCGATAGACACGTGCAGTTACGTATCGCCAAATTGGAGCGCGATGCACAATCGGACATCAAGAGCTTCGAAGCCTTCGTGGACGTTACAAGTTCTCGTCTACCAACAGCGATAAGTCAGATGACATTGGGCGAGATACTCGGTTACAAGAATCACAATGATAAGCAAGAGAGCCACAACGACGAGGTGAGCTCGTCGGTTAAGGATACACAACCATCCATAGTAGCTAAATCTAAACTAAAGACAGGATATAAAACTGCCAAACGTACCACCACTGCCACCGATGACGGATACGGGACCGAGAGAGGTACCAGTGTGGATAGCACATCTCGGGCTACTAAAATGGAAGCTCAGAAGCTAGAAGTACAGACAACAACGAGAAGGACACGTAGTTCTAGCAGAGCGAGCAGGACTCAACTCAGCGAGATCACTCAGAAGATGACGACAACTAAATCCAGAGGCAAGAAGATGGATATCTTTAAGACACCAGCACCGCTAAATCCCTTGAATAACATGTACGATGTGGTTACGCCAAAAATCAAGCCTAACACACCATTGAATGTATTGAGACGTCCACGTCAAGGAGAAATGGTTCTCAGCATGCAGGGCAGTCCATTACTAGTTTCTGCTATTGTCGAGGAAAAAACTGCTAATATTAATGTACCTTTGGGTGATGGCAATGTAATGTCCTTGTTGCCTCAAGCGGGATTGCGTATGTCGCATATTCCTCCATTGGATCCTGAAACGATGCAACAGTTGGAGACTCTCAAGAACCATATTGAGAAAGTTATCGCATTGAAGTAACAGTATATATGTCAACAGGTTATTATTTAATATATAACAATTATATAATAAAATAATTTTATACTTTTTCTTATTTAGTTATATAAAAAGAAAAATAATATATAAAATTTTCTTTTTCTTTTTCTTGTCTCAATATTTGTAACATCTTTTACATATCAAGAGCACTTCAAAAAATTATTATTTAATATTAATAATATTTTCTACAGGTGTAACGTTTCCTGACTGGGTAGAAATAATTCTTTTCATTATAGAAAAGATTTATTTAAATTTGAAATATTAAGACACCAGTGATGCTAAAGATCTCGAACAGTATATGACATTGTTATATCGAAGATCAAGCCTAATAAATCAAGTCTGTTGAATCTATTGAAATATCTTAATAAGAAGGAATGGTCCTCAGTATGTGGGTCGTAGTTTACAATCGGCCTCTGTTGTTAGAAAAAAATTGTATTACTTTTGTATAACGGCAATGTGATGTTTGTTGCAACAAGAAGAATTGTGCGTATTTCTCCATTGGATCTGGAAACAATGCAACAATTGGAAACTAAGAATCGCATTGAAAAAGTTATCATATTAAAGTAGCTATAATTGTCAGAAAATAAGTTATTGCGTAGTGTAATATAACAAGTATTTCCTAAGAAATATTTTCATACTTTTTTATATTCACTTGTATAAAAAGAAAAGTGTATCTATAAAAGTAATGAATCTCTCTCCTTCCCTCCCTCCCTCTCCTCCCTCCCCTTCTCTCTCTTGTTTCGATATGTTTAATAAATATTTTTTTGCATGAAAAGTGTCTCAAAAATTATTTAATACAACATACTAAAAATGTTATAGTATTTTTTACAGATATAGATTTTTTGCTAAAATAGAAATAACATTTTTTTTTTTAATGGGGTTGTAAAAAGATTTATTCGAAATATTTATTTAATAGAAAAATACTTTACAGAATATTGCATTTTAAACATTTATGATACTAATAGGAATGTCTAATAAATTGTGGCTTCACTATTAAAATTCATATTGTTTGACATATCCACTGATGAGATTGCTATAAAGACGGCCAGCTATATAGGCCAAATTTTCATGACCATCAATGGAGCCTCAGGAGTCTGAAGGTAATTGAACAGCGCTGACATTATCAACTGATAAGGCTCCATCGAAGATAATTACACGAGAGTTATCCTATAAATATTTCAACTTATCCAATTATTGTTTTATTATAAAAAATATATATATATCTTTTATGTAACTATTTCAAAAATAACAAACACGAATGTTTTATTCTAAAAAATCGCAATTTTATTACCGACAATACAAAGATCTATATATCTACAGTAGCACGTAGCAAACTTTTTTTTCTGCTCATGCTAATTCCTATAAGGCCCCGTCTTTAATAGTACCTGGTCGATGACATAGGATATCAATTAGCTGAGGTGCTTGATCCTTGATCCATTCTTCTTATCTCTATGTGATATCAGAATTCAGAACGGCCAAGTGGTGGCAGAAAAGACTGATTCAGAAGAACCTAGAAGAATCTGGAAAGATTTCGTATGCCTGCCATTGTTCGTGTCCGTGTTCAGTACCACTTAGGTTTTAACAAGCTCCAGTAGTTTTTACAAATATTTGCTAATTGTTATATTTCACTGCCTTTCTCACCTTCGACATGGACCGAAGAGATCGCGAACGAATAAATTGCTGCTGCGAGACAGTTGTATCCAGAATTGATATGAAAAAACTCTTGCCAAGATTGCTGCAAAACAAAGTCTACAACAGAGATGACACAAACATGCCTCGATGGATGGTGAGTTTATTTGTTTTATTGTACTGTTAGCTACATCGTCTGACGTACAAGAAGTTTACAATCGTTATCAATTTCTTTTCAGAGTAATTATATACGACATTTTTTTTTTTTTTATTAACTACTGGCTATGCTTTTTCTCTAGCTGCTGATTTTTTGACATGTTTTTAAACAAACAAGCTAATTGTTAGAAAAAAACAATAGCTTATCAACCACATGCTATTGAATGCTAAACATTTTTTCGATATTTTTCTCTTTTAATTTTTTTAAGATTTATGTAAGAATGGTACAAACATCTTTGTAATAAAACAATAATTTGGAAAACAGAAATTAATTTTAATTTTTTTACATTTAGCTAATTTTGTACACTAAATTATAAATTTACTTAAAAAGCGATGTTTGAGACATAATATTAAAGCTATTACTATTTTTTATTACGTTTTTTAATAATGCCAAGTACAATAATTTTTTTTAATTTTGTTTTTACAAAAAAGACATCAAAAGTGAATATATTTTTGTCAAAATCAAAAGTGAGTAGATTAAACTAAACAATTATTCTTTTTTTGTCTCTAAGATGATAAGATAAGCAGAATTCTAGAAAAATGAATTATATTCGTCATATATCTTTCATTTACACACTCTCTCCTTTAAGTAGATGATATAGAGAAGAAAGATAGAGAGACAGAAAGGAAAGGAAAACAATTTTAAGGTATTACGATGTAGTATTTATCTTTTATGCAAACCAAAGAGTGAGATTTTGGGAGTTTTAGTATGTGTTATTTATAGTATCATATATAGTGTGTTATTTATGATATCATTTTGTTGTATATGATATTCAATTATTCTTTTTTAATTTAAGTTATCTTTTCAGTCAGTTTTGTTATAGATACAAGTATTTCTAATAAATATAGATAAATACAAGCATACACATACAAACACATTATACATATAGCTATACATAAATTATTACGAACTTGCGTGATAATGTATGGAATAAATTATCAATGTCGCGCGAAAATTTGCAAAATGTAAATGATTAAAGAATAACTACAAACTAATTGATATTATAAATTATATATCATATATGTTGTATCATATATATCATTATGTAATGTCTCTGATTGCAGAAAAACCCTATGGCACCAGATATAGTCAAAGATATATATTTAACGATAAAAACACGAGGACCATATGCATTTAAAAGTTTAATTCTTAGTCTAAGACAGTCTGACCATGAAAATGTAGCAGATATATTAGAAGGAAAAACTAGCGCAAGTAATACAAGGTATATTTTATTACTATTCTATCACATTAATTTTTCTTTAATGTTGAATATTTTATAATATATATTAAAAAAAAGAAATAAAGAATTGTTTAACTGTATACATTAGAAAGATTTAAATTTTAGTATTTTCCTTTAATTTTATTCAATTTTGGATATTAATATAAATTATTTAGCTGAATTTAATTTTGATATTATTGATAGTAAGTAATGTAAGTATAGCATAATCATAGTTATTATAAACATGAACATTCTGATAATTTTAAGTGCACATAAATACATAATTTTTTTAATAAAATGCCAATTTTAAGTATGCTTTTAAATATATATTTAAATTCTCACTAGTTACTACAACTAGTACATTCATAAGATGAGATAATAGAACAAAATATTTTGTTTACAATATATTATTAGATAATTAAGTATATAGATAAAAGAACTTTTGTGGGTTCAATATTTAATGCTTACACGAAAATGTTGAGCTTGTGTATAATTTAATGGTTAAATTTTTGAAAATTATTTTCGTATTTTTCTTTTGTAAATTCTCTCATTATATTTACAATATTTTATTTCAGTTCTGATCAAGAAAACAATTCACTTGATAAACATTTGATCTGGTCTGATAAGCCTTTAACAATAAGGCTTCGTAAAGCAACACGATTTTTAGATCGTAATTATGATTCATGTGATATCATTGCGCGCTATCCCATGCGAAGTAAACCTCGTGGGTTGGTTTTGATAATTGCAAATATTTATTACTATTCACCAGAGGATAAACCAAGACTTTCGGCACAACATGACACAAATAATTTACAAACACTATTTGAAGAAATGGGCTTTAAAGTAGTTGTATATGAAAATTTAACTGGAAAGGTATATTATATAAACTTAGAAACAGAGAGAGAGAGAAAATTTTTAATACAATATATTTGTTTGGAAATTATTTTTATATTAAGTATATTATATTTGATATTAGATTAAACTAAGAATTATATGACACAATATGATATATATAATTACATTAATATATTAAATTATCTTTTTCCTTTTTATTAGGAAATAAAAGATGTAGTAATAAACTTTTCAAGAAGTAGTGATTTAAAAAATGTAGACTCGTGTTTTGTAATATTTACAAGTCACGGTACCGAAGACAAACATGCCGAGGACAAGGAAAATAATACAGAAATTCAAGGAACAGATTATTCTAGTGCAAGCGGCCAAACAAATTATGAAAAAGTTATGTGCACCGATATTTGCGATTATTTTACTGCAGAAGCTTGTCCACAACTTGCGGAAAAGCCAAAGATATTTATTTTCCAACTTTGCAGGTATATAGTATGATTATAACTATTATTTTTCTTATAGTCTTATGTGTGCATTTGCAGCCTATATCTCAGTACAAAAATATTTTTAAGAGTTGTGTCTTTCATGCAATTTTGTGTAGATTTTGTTTGTATTTACAGACCAAAACCTAAAAAAAGTACAATATTTTTTCTTCTGTACTTAATTATTATTTATTCTGTATTTATTTTTTCCATGTTTTTTAGAGGAAAAAGAAAACAGAAAGCTATAGCTCACTCTAGGACTGCCATAGATACCATTCCAATGGATGTCATTCCAAATACGAATAATTATGAACAGAGTCACATATCTAATATATCTCGCTTAACAACAAGAAATTATTCAGATATGCTCATAGTTCAATCTACTTTGCCTGGACATGTATCGTACCGAGATCAAATAACTGGTAGTTGGTTCATACATTACCTTTGTAGTACATTCATGAATTATGCTTGCACGACTCACATTCAAGATTTATTCACCATGGTAAATATTATGAGATACTACTAATAAAATATAAATTGAGTGATTCTCTTTCTCTGATAAAAATCTGCAATTAATGCAATTTATAGGTTGATGCAGAATTGAAAATGGTCAGAACGGGAAACGACGAGTGTCAGACACCATCTATACAATTATTGGGATTTAGTAAACATTGTTATCTCAATCCTGGCCTTTTTGAATCGTGACAATGAATAAAAAGAGACTAACACTTTTATCACACAAGCAATATTTAAATTATGCAATATCTTCGTACTTGTTGATTGCAAGTATTTTAATGTATTTATAATTTTCGGTGCTATTATAGAACATTTTTATATTGTAAATAATTACAAATTTTAGTATATAAAGTTTTATATGAGCTTTTTATGATAAAAGTGAATCGTATCTTTTAACCGTTTTTTTTTTATTCTTTTACATGTATTATTATATTATATATGAGATTAAGAAATATAATATGAACATGTATTTTTCTCTCTTCTCATTTACTTATTTTCTGTTGTTTTACTTTATTTTATTTACTACTATCCATAATTCTTTATATTGTATTCATCCTTCTCCTTCCGCTCTTTTTTTATTTATTATTAACTCTTCATCTATTTCTGTCTGTGTAAGCTCTATGTCAAATATGATAGTTAATCAACGATCTTTAATTGCAAGTACTGTATTTACTTCAATTTTAATTTAATATATGTTCAGTGTATATCTTCTATCAACATATATACTCTTTCTGTTTCTGAATATATATAAAACATTTTTTGCTCGTATAGAATGCTTGGTAGAAAAAAAGGATATGTATCTCACAAGTTTAAAGAGATTTATTTCGAGCATCAACTAATGCTATATTCCATGTAATCTCGTGTTTTTATCTTATATTTAAGATTTATCGCGCGACAATGCATTAACATTTACAGAAAAAAAGATACTGTTTAAATATCATATTATTTAAAATAGCTCGTGATTTATGCGTTTCAATCTTCTTATAAATATAAATTACAAAAAATGATTCACTTCACTATACTAAATTTAATCTTACCACCTGTTTACTGTTTTCATAAATGCCTTGATTATATAATTGATAAAATTACATGCAAGTTTGCTATACCAACTTTGTAACGAAAATTATGCAGAAGTATTATGCTTAATATATAATATGCTCGATATGAAATTTCAAATTATCGAAAAAATTTAAGGAGAATAAAGTATGATTTGAAAGATTTCTATTGAAAAAGATCACCGAAAAAATTTTGATCAAATTTTAACTTCTAAAATCTGAGATATTTTTTTTTATGCATTAATAATAAAAGAAAGAAAAGTCAGTTATATATTAACTTAAAAATATACAAATAAGTTAAGTATATTTTATACAATACAATTTTGAAAAGTTTAAGTATAGCTATCGGTTTTATTTATATAGTTCTATAATCGATAGAACGAATGGTGGACTAATGTCAAGGCAGTTGAATTATGTCGATGAAGATGAGTTTTATTTTATATTATTATATTTTGCGGATTTTTTTACGTTCATATTGAATTATTCTGTACGTAGGTACAGCGCGTTTACGAGCATGCCTAGTACAGGGACTGCGCGTTGGAGGAACGTGGCCGTTTGATCTTTTCAAGGTTCTTGATCACAAGATCGTGTAACGAACAGTAGCGATTGCGAACCTCGCACATAACGAGCCATAAACTCACATACTCCTTTTCATCTAGTTCTTGAATCGCTCTTCTATAATCGATGATGTGTGGATATTTCGCGACTTTACTAACGATCTTTCCTCTAGAGATGAAATACCTGTAGAAATAAGAGATAAAATATGATTCTTTTCTCTTGTTAAAGTAACTAGAAGTAATCTAAGAATATCGAATGCATCATATATATATATAATTTACTAATTATTTTTACCTAGAAATTTGATCGAAAAAAGCGGCTGCTTCGCTCTCAACTGATTGAATCTCAGATAATGTATCTTCTTGTATTGATACACCAAAGTTATTTCCATCCTCAATTTTTGGAATCAGGAAAGAAATCCACATTTTTAGCTAGAAAATTAAGACCAATGATGTACCAATGATGATTTGAAAAATACATTTAACATTACAATAAGCGAGAAATGTTTAATAGATTATGATGATAAAAAAAATTTTTTTTAATGGATCACAACAGACATATATTTTTCAAAATTGTCCCAATTTTGTTTAAAATTTATTGTGAAAAGATTATCTCCTTTGCAGAGATTAATTATTAAAAAAAAAAGAAAGAAAAAACCACATTTTGCTTATATTAAAGTATTTAAAAAAGATAATAAAAATCTTAGCACATGTGCATTTAACACTTACTAAATTAGAATCCTCCAAAAGCTGTCTAATGTATGGTTTAACTATGTAAATTAGATCACATAGTTTTTTGTTGCACGGTACTGGACCGTTTGGTAGTACCATAACTTTGGTTCCGCTGGTTTCTTCTGCATTATTGTCCAACTTAAGCTTTTTTGTAGCAGGGGCATCTTCGGAATGATTAAGAACTATAGGGTCTGGAATGGGAACGTTTAATTCTTGATGTACATCTGACAACTTCCGATTACAGAATCCAGGCGTCTCCAGCAATTCATTTAATTTAACTATTTTCTCAGGGAACCCTTTTATCAACAATTCCTCCGCCTAAATAACGCATTCATATAAACAATAAGTATATATCGATAATTTATCAACCTACAATTTTGATAAATATATCATCAAGTAATGTTTGTTGCATGTATGTATGTGTGTGTGTAAAGAATTTTAAAAATTATAAACAGTTAAAAGAGAAAGAGAGAGTACAAATTACCTTAGTCTTAAGAGAATCCTTGTATTCTTGAACCTGTAAGATAAACTCAAATAATACATCACTTTGATAAGATTATTGTACATAAGTAAGAAATAATTTAAAGTCATAGAGTAGTGTATATATCAATACAATATTTCTCAAAATGATATTTTTGTGACTCTTATAAAAACTTGGTAATTTGGTTGATATGTTATTGAAATAGAATAAAAAATATTTTTATTATCTCAGTAGCTGTATAATTTATTTACAATACTATAGTAATGATCAATTTTATTTCTTTAAAAATTACATACTTGTAAAATTTGAAGAAATGATACAAAGATTTGAGAAATTATTACAAATTGCATCAATTATAAATATGTCTAGCATGATCAGGATATATTATCTTTAATAATAAGTTAAAGATATTAACAAATAAAAATAAGTAATATAAAAATATAGCAAAAGCAAATAAATAATATGAAAGTATATTAGTATCTCCATAAAGCATCACTGATGGTATTATAACATGAAAACCATGTTCATTATAGCCATAGCTACCTCATTTTCAGTATAACCATCCAATAAGGCATTACTTGGCTCATTATTTGAATTACTAGCAAATGTAGAAAACATTTATACAAAATAATTGATTAGAAGTAATAAAATGACGTACATAAAAGTCACTTTAAGCAACTTTAGAAACTTTTAAGCAAGAATTTAGAGTTCTGTAAAGTTTAACTTGTACTTTTATGACAGAGTACAATTTTAACAGGTTATAACAGATTACACTCAATTGTTTAGATTACATCATGGGAAAAAATTTGAAAATATATAGTGATAATTTGTATGGTATTGTATTATTAAAAAAGAAACGTAAAAATAATTTGTTCTTCTCGAAAAAAATTTAGCTCTTTCTATATCTATACACAAATTCATTATGCTCATCTCTAAAAAATTTATTATTATGACAAGCTATTACAATGATCATTATATAATTCACAGTCGTTTCATCGTCTTCACATTTTCCAAAAAATTACAGGTAAACTGTTATTGTCAATAATTGCTACAAAATAGAAAAAATCAAGTTTCATTGCCATTCATTATTTTTACAAGCTACAACCTGCCAATTTTGACAAATTATCGTTGTGTCATATGATGTTACATAAAAAAAAAAATAAATAATTGCGACGAATATTTATCTACAATGACAATCCACGCAAAAATTTAAGAAAAGATTATCAATGTACTATAATCAAGACGAAAATAATATTAATATCAATCCTTATTACGTGATGTTTGAAAAAGAGAATTTATTCAACACATATAAATTCATGAAAAGCAACCTTCATCATTATAAATTGTTTTCACATCCGTGTTATCTGCCAAATGACTGTCAGCCTGTTATCGAGATATATAGACTTTATTTCGCGCGAATAAAAGAGATGCTATGCGGAACACGTTCTTGAAAGAGGTTAAAGCTGTTTCCACCAATAAACTTTTTTTTTTCTCGCGATACTCGATATTTTCACGACACGTAAATCCACGCGATGGAGCTCCTCTCTATCCGTTCCTCCTGAACGAATCGCGGGGAATCGTTGAAATCGGCGATGAAATCGGAACGACTCGATGGACGAAGAGACGCAGCAACACAAACATGACCGCTCGCGCGAACAGCGGACGGTTAACCTAACCGGTTGTCGTGTCTCGAAGCAGCTCGTTTCTCATCATCCTGAGCACTGACAGGGGGGTACGCGAAGACCGGACCGAGGGGGTATTTTACCTTTTCCACTGTAGCATCCTCCATTATATAAGTTCCGTAAGAAAAAAGCTTCCGCTGTAAACCCCCGTAACTACTGTGTATATGTGTCCCTTTGTTGAAAAACGTGCAACTCAAACAGGAAGTTCGCGGCTACCACCGTGTACCACCACCGTTGTCAAGCGAGGGTCTCGATGACACTTGGCGAAACCTGTCGAGCTTTTTTTTTACCTTTAATACCTTCTGCATTTAAAATCGCAGGGGATGGGTATTTACGTTTCTCGGAGGGGGAGGGAGGTAAAAGATAAATATGATTGACAGATAGACATCTGGTATCGAGTCGCAGATGCATGCGCATGATCGCGGACCCACGATCGATCTTTCAAATGTGAATCACGCGATGGGAAATATATCGATTGAAAAAAGAAAAATGATTCAGCAACCCTGATAAAATAATAATTCTGCAATAAAAATACTATATAGATTAAGCTTTGATATTATAAGTTCATATTTCGCGTACATATTTGATAGTGAGAGTAAAAAAAAAAACATTATCGATGACAAATTATACATATATATATGTGTCTAATAATGTCGGATGAAATTCGCAGCCTCTCATGATTCTGGAATTTCGCTGACGTCATTTTTATTCTCGTTCTTTCTTGCTTTTTCTCTGATTATATATATACATATATATCCTATATTTAGGAAAGACAATAATAAAAATTGTTGTACGGCTTTGTTTATAGGTTTACTCTTTTATATGCATTTTTTTATATATTCAAGTTTTATTTTCAAACACAGAAAGTTTTAAAGGCAAGCAAAACGAACAAGCAGAGCTCTTGAACAATTCTTTTCTTTGTATAGAGCATATTGATTATAATTGTCATTGAGAATGTACAGAGAATCATTTTTCTTTACTTATGCTGAGATAACTTTTTTATTTTAATGTTTTACATGTTTGATGATTCAAATACAATAGACGAGATAGAAATTTGAAGATTCTAATGCTAGAAATTTTGCAAATACTAATATTTGTATTTCAAACAGATAATAAATCGCAGAATTTTTTTAAAAAGATTTAAAATTAAAATACTTGAATGATGCTTGAAGTAGCCAATGTTTTTGAAAAGATTCAAATATTTGAAAAAATTAAACTTCCATAAATTCTAAACCAGCGATTTGATGATCTTAAATAGCTTATGTTCAACTTTAAACATTTAGAGATTTGCACATACGCTGTTTTATCCTAAATTACAATACAAAAATTTAAATTAGAAAATTCTAAAGTATTTGATATATCTCTATTTTTAGATTCTTTAATTATTCTTATATATTGACTCTTCTTATGAAACACATAATTGATCATTTATGTCGAGGGCAAGTGAATAAATATAAGGAATAACTTTTTTACCTTGTTATATTTTTGTAATTTTTCGATATTATATGACATTTTTCTTCACTCTTTCTTGAAGAGTATTTACAAAAAATAATTTCAAAAAAACACGAGATTAAGAGAGAGTATGTTGATTAGAGATCTCAAGCAAGTTAATTTTATATATGTATAATTCCATATTTATCTCATTTTTTAAATAAAATTTCTACTATTAATAAAAGCGATTCTATATAAACGTATTGTAAATGAGCACTTTTTGTCGCGACACTTGTGTGTCATCCATGTTAATTACGAGAAAAATACAGTTAATCGATAATATTTAATGAGAGTAACTAATTATTAATGGTTATAATAATTGCGATAAATTTTTTCTTGTATAAATACATATTAAATAGGGCTAGGTGAGTTTCTTGGCTTTCTGGTAAAGTGTATCGACGACTTTTCCCATGCTGTGTATTGTGTCTAATGCGATTTCGTAAGTTTTGTCGCGTGGTGTATCCTCGAATACAATTAAAACACCTTCTCCTTGATCAAGAACTCCTCGCAGTTTCTTGTCCAGAATCATCTGCGATAATTTCTTTTCTACTTGCGCTAATGGCAAAGATATGCACGAGGCAATATGACCCACCTATGAATAAAAAATTAATATAAAAAATAAAAAATTATTTTGTTTTATATATACTCTATTGCTAATATAGAAAATTTAATTCACCAAATAATTTATAGTCAAAAAGAAATGTATAAGACTCCTTGTATATTCTTTAGAAAGTGTTTCTATGCATGAAAATATCATGTATATCCATATAAATACCTGGACTCGTGAATAAGGTTCGACTAAACGGCACAAATTTTGTTCCAGCATAGCATCATAGAGAGAACCGAGATGTGCACGTACAATCACATCGTCTTCCAATTCTTGCCGGTATTGCTTAACCGCCTTCTGAAAATCCGCTAATGATCGTCGGTGGCTAGCATCAGCTACCGCACGCATTGCATCTAGATCTAATCCCGCGTATTTCACCGCCAGTTTGCCGGACATGATAGTTTGAACGTCTTCCGGTGTGCGCAACATGATTTTAGACAGTAGCATGTACTTGAGCGTAATCAGTGCCTTGGGGCTTTCAACGCTATCATATCTAAATGTAGAAAACAGAGATAACACTGTTATAAAATATAAGTGAATAATTGCAGTGATATTAAGATATTGATTACGGTTACCCTTCAAAGGCTTCATAAAAATAAGAGTAAGCAGTCTTGAAGTCTCGTTCGTCTGCAGCATGCAGTATTCCCGATTGTAGATCTAGAGCTGCTTGCATTTTAGGTGGACAGTAAATCGCATTGGCAGTTGTCCTGGCGCTGGTGAGCGCCGCTCTCGCTTTCGCTAAATTGCTCAATGCATGATATGTCTTGCTCTCTAACAATTGAACCTCTACTAGTAGTTGTTTGTCGTCCAGTTTTTTGAGTTCCTTGAGGAGAGCAGACCCCAATTGCAATGCTTCGCTGAACATGCCCGTATCGAAGTAAAGAGCTATTAAACGGGCTTCTAACGATTGCCTTAAAAACGTTCTGCGTTCTTCCTTTGCCCATTCTATGCATTCTTTACACAATTGCACCTAAATATACAACGCATATAAGTACACATTTCATTCTTTTTTTTTTTTTGTACAAGTATTAATATAATTTTCAAAAGTAGAAAGACTTGAATTAGAGAGCTCAAGCTAGACTTATAAATATATATACAGGGTTTCAAAGGTGAACGATCGAATATATAAGTGGTTGTAAATTCTCAACAAGCGTGCATAATTTTGTATAGTATCACTGTTAGCAAACTAAAAATATTTGTTTAAATCTAGTACCACGAATATCTCGACAAGCATGATTTGACGTTTTCCACCAGCCGGTGAAAAAAAGCATAACCTAATCCATTCTCTGGCACGTCCAACTCAACGTCTTTCCTTATGGATTACACGAGAAGAAATCGTCCCATTACCTCGATACCTATACCAGCTTCCAGATCCAGGAAGAAGTCCACCAAGGAGCGCACGAGCTTGGCAGCCTTCGCTTTACTAATAAGACTAAGGAACGGCCTGGTGGCTTTGATCAGCTCGGCCAGCTCCTTCGCCTTACCCTCCTTCTTGTAGAGCTCGCCCAGATGAAGAATACCCTGCTCCTTGACGCAGATGTTGTCCTCGTCATCTTCGGCGCCGATACTCGGGTCGGAGACGATCTCGTTGAGCAGCGAGATACCCTCGCTTCGGTTTGTCATCGAAACAGCCTGAGCCCGCTCGAACAACATCGCACCGGCCATCTCGGGGATGATTGGTGGCAGTCTTCTTCTTCCTCTTCTTCTTCTTCTTCTTCCCTTTATGGCTGGTTAGGCTTTCTATACAAAATTTGCACGCTGTTGGTGTTTATATGAATTGTAATCGACCACCAGCTAACAATGCAAGAACTAGTGTGTAGAAATGGTTCTCCAGACGAGGATGAGTTGCAAAAATTATATCCAAAATGGATCTCGCGCGAGAACGCGCCCAAACACGTCCGATTCCGTCCCTAGTCGGCAACGGACATGATTGGTGGCAGTGATGCTGCATGATCGTGAGACAGACATCCCACGCGCAGAACCTTTTGCGCATGCGTGAATGACGTCACTGCTCCACGTGACCGATCTCGGCAGACTCGTGCTTAGATGCAATACAGGACAATTTTTAGAGCTTATATAAATTTTTTATTGTTTTTATTATTATTTATGCTAAAATGATATATTAAATATCTGTTATATCTCTTTAAGAATAAACAAGATAGATTTAAAAACCGAATTCTATATTATTTCTCTTACATTATCTATTCCTTTCCCATAAAAGACAACAAAGTTTTATTTTTTTATTACAAATGCAAATTAAAGATAAATTGAGAGTGCGCTAACGATAAGATTATTACAGATTACTCAGTTTATATATAAAAGTAATATGGACATAGCAATCGTAAAGATTGAGTATATTCCAATATGCATAGATACTTTATTATTGTAATAATAATTAATCACAATTAACTTACAGAAACGCACGCGCATACATACATACAATGTATATGAATGAAATCATATACATCATATCATATTATCGATGTTTTCATCAACAACATACATTCTTTGTGAAACGCACATAAAAATTTTTTTTATTCATTTATAAATTATACAAAACATTATCTTATACTTTTCTTCCGTAAATTATTTACAAATGCATCAATCTACTTGACTTTCAGCATGCATTAACGAAAATGAAGCATTTTTCAATATCATTACTTGTAAATTGCAAAGTGTTTCTTCCAATCTGAAAGATATAAATGAATACATAATATATAATTTTTCACATACATATATATATATAGGATTAATTTAAAATAAATCTAGAAAAAATAAAAACAGCTGTTACAATTACACACATACATACTTTTTCTGAAGATTTTCTATTTCATTATACGTTTCAACAAAATTCTTTAATCCATCATTAACAGTGCAATACACTTCGCCTTTCGATCCAATTAAATTTATGATGCTTTTTAAGGTATTCGAACATTTCGTTAATATTTCTCGAGTCCTTTCCCACTCGTCTTGTGTTTTAGGAAGTATTATACCGTTACACCGCAATACATCCATAGGTTCTAGAAGAAATTGCAGCTTGGATAGCATATCTTTCGCAATCTTAAATGTTTCATGTTCTGTAAAAATATAAACATAATATATTTTATATATATTTTAATATATAATCTCATATGAATAAAATTTAATATAATTTTAAACATTTTAAATCTTACTGGTACACTCTGTTACTGCAGCTAATTGCGCATCTACCTCTTTTTGTGCTAAGCTTAAGTTTATTATATCACGTTCTCTTGATTTGATTTTCATCAATTTTTTTGTATCTTGGTCAATCTCCTGTGCTATAGTAGCTAATTGCGTAATCATCAAATGCTTTTTCTCTTCAGTCTTTTTCTTTATTATGAGATCCATCATCATAGCTTGTAAATATTCGTCGTAAAGAAGTCCAAGTTCTACCTCTTTGCATTCAGTGTCTGCCTTCTTTTGTCTATATTCAGTGTCAAAGTTCTTTGACAAATGCGGTGGCATAATTGATTGCCTACTGTTTACCGTAATCTTCTTTTTCAACATTTCTATGAGAAGTAACAGTACATAATATTATGCTAATGCAGCAAAATAAAGCAGTTAACAAAAAATTTTACAAAATAAAATATTAATAAAACTCACTGTGTGTAATGTCACCTGGCATCATGGTTGCTCTATTACGAGAAGTGGTTACATTTTTTGAAATATTGGATAATGTGACATCTAATACAGGCTTTCCTGCAATCTCTGATACGTTTGGATCATGAATTCTGTAAAAAAAAGCACATATTATATGTACACAAATTAAAATGTAAACTTTACAATAAAGCAATAATTTTACCTTCGAATACGTCCTGATTTGGGAGTACCTTTTGGCTCTTTCTGCATTTTTCGCACCAAACTCACCAGACTTTAGATATTTTTATGCGTAGCAAAGTCGTTTGCCTAATGTTTAAAGTTTTTACACTTTATTTCTTTCTTTTCTTTCCCTCCAACAGCTTGAAATACATACATACATCAAACCCGAAGAATGCGTTCAAAAATCCACTCGGAATAGAGTAGCAAATATTCCTTTATTCTGATTGGTCAATCATACACTACTCCGACGAATAGGTTTTCGAACGCAATCATATACATAGTGCCAGAAATCGCAAGAGAAACTTTCAAGATTCTAAAAATTCTCTATTCGATAGCCAATCAGAACGTCTAATAGACTTGTATGATAAATGCAGATCTGTTCATTTTTCTCTTTATAAATTTAAATAATTTCTTGATTTTTAAAGTAATATATTTTGAGAATATTCTAAACAGCATTATCTATGAATCTTGTTAGTATAATATTCTCGTGTTAAAAGAATATATCTTATGAATCTGCTTAGAACATATTGTACTTAGAACGTTTTCATTTTTTGAAGTTCTATGCAGATTCATAGTTAAATTTTGTTTTTTTTCACTTTATTTTAGAATATTCAAGTATTCACTGAAAGATATTTATATTAAAGGATATTTGTTGAAAGAATATTTATAGAATAGATTCGTGCTATCTGAATATGTGTGTTTGTGCTGTTGTATATATTTCATTTTTTAAATATATACAATATATATTTTTAATTAATACTAATTAATAATTGATTCTATTTTATTATTACTTGAAATCTTATAATTGTTTTTTAATAATAATACCTAATAATAATAATCGTACAGATATGATAATTGTACAAATGTCAAAATAAAATAATAAAAAGCATTTCGAAATACAATATCGATAATCGTTGTAAATGCATTTGCTTGGGCGGTAAAGACGGACAACATATTCATCATGAAACTCTTTTTAATAGTCCGCGATATATAAAATTTAACAAATCGATAATTGTAATACGCATAAGTGCAGCAATTATGAATATGTACCGTCATATTGTATTCCGTATTCGATCGACAGTAATAATAGTATAATAGTTTGCAATCGTGATGATATTCGCTATGACTAAAAACATTTGAATAATTCTCTCGCCGCTTCTGATAATCAATTATATATTTTGATTTAAAAATTATCGAGTTTCCAACAGATTATCCAAGATTATGATTTTCAGGTTCTTATACATACACTGTTCTCGTGATGGTTTTATTATTTCGTCATATGGTAATGAGTTTCTTTCATGAATCATTTTTCCAACATATATATTATCATATTTTCCAAAGCCTGAATTATTTCACAACGTATCGGTTGTGTTTGGAATATATTTTATAATAAGAGATGAATATTAGCACAATATGTGCACTCTATCAATAAATAGTCTCAATTGTTTTTAAATAATCTTATTATTAATATTTGAAGTAAATCATTGAGAAGTGAAATTTCTCACGTTTATATTTTAGAAAAAAAACTGCTATATATATAATATATATTAAAACATAAAATACACTGCATATTAGGCAAAAAATTATTAATAAATTCCAACGAAAAACAACGATTTACGATTATTTCTTATATACATATACTTTTTTTCAAAATATTATTATACATCTAAAAAAACAGATATGACTAAAATAAGATGACAGATATGACTAATAATAAAGACACTATCTTGTATTATTTAATGACATTTTTCAATATATATAGAGTGTTAAAAAAAAAACCATTCAATATTTATATGGTAGATAGGACACTTGATAGAAAGCTCAACCGTTTCTGAGATATAAACATTTTTGTATATTAGCATCATGATTGACTTACTGGCTTCTATGTGTCGCATGCGATGTTTACCTCAGTGTTTATAAACCGCGTTCTGAATGTTCTCATTCAATTTCCATGATTAAATTTCCGTGACCGAATCCAGCGTGCTTGTCAAATAATTCGACAGAGATCTGGAATTTTCGAGAGAGTTCGCGAATAAATTTGAAAAATTTAGACAGATTATCTTCTTCTCACGTCGCATGCGACACGTAGAAGCCAGTAAGTCAATCATGATGCTAACATACAAAAATGTTTATATCTCAGAAACGCTTGAGATTTCGATCTATGTTTACTAAGGTTTTTTTACTCAGTATATGGTGTGATCTATGTCCTATCTACCATATAAATATTAGATGGTTTTTTTTTCTTTTAACACCCTGTATATCACTTTTCAATATAGCATTGTATTTTTATATTTTCAATATATAAACTCTCGAAATGAAAAATAAAGAAAAAGTGTGTAAAGAATAATATTCACATATTTCTGTTATAAATATGTAATAAATAATTATGCTTATAATTATGTTTGTACATGTTCTATGTAAAAAAGGACGTCATTCATTATCCGAACTGTTTAAATGTATAAAAAATTTTAATAAATTGATTATTTCAATAACTATAAGTGTTCTAATTGAAATTACGAAGATACGCTATCATAATCGATCGTTTGGTGAAGCTAGTTCAAACAGTCGGCAAATGATATGTAGTTCGGAATCGAAACGGTGTACGTAATGACCAAGAGCATTCGAACAGTTTTAGCACCGTTCTTGATAATCAGTTATGTGTCTGGTTTAAGAATTATCGAATTCCCTATAGGTCATCCAAGAGTATGGTTTAGTTTCTTATATATGCTGCTATTTTGGTCAATTTATTTTCTCTTCTTAAAATTTATAATAACATCTTACTTTAATGATACACATTATACTACTGAATATCATATATGTATTGGGCTAGACATTTTGGTGACATTACTGTCAATTGTTTTCGGAGTGTATCATGATAAGGTATGTGTGATAAAAAATTGTTAATTATTTTCATACTAATAATACGTAATTTTGATTGTGTATCTGAATATTTTTTTGATATCTGGAAGTAGCCGCAAAAATTTTAAGTAATATTTTTCCGTTTAGCAAAACAAATTAAAGATATACAATATGCCATATATATTACTAATGCAACACAAGTTATTGATATACAAATTTCTTTTCTAGAAATATTTAGTAATTTATTGCATATCGAATAAAAGAAAATATATGAAATTAACATTAACATTTTTTATTTTTTCTTTGAAAAACTACATTATTAATTATATAAGATCCGCCAAACACGTGGAATTAATTAAACGAAGCTTAATTATTTGTCCACCGCATTGCCTCTTTGTGACAGAAATTTAGAGATTGTTTGAGGAAGCTCGACATTATCGACAATACATTGTTTAATATCGGAACAACGACAGATAATTACAAGCTCCACAAAAAAACAATATATATCATCCTAGGATGGCTCCTAATGATTATATCAATGAGCTATGGAACGGCGTATTGGATAAAAAACGAATACAAATATAATACTTTAACAGCTATGTATGCTTTCATTATACGAAATTATTGCTCTTACATTAACATGATCAATGATATGATTATTGCAAGTATTTTTGGGTTGGTATATTTTTTTACATATACGAATTATAAGAAAATTATTTTATCTCTAACATAATTATGTGTACAAATTCATAAAACTATATTATAATGTATAAAAATATGTATAAGCTTTCTTTGAAATTTTTGAAGTTGTCAAAAAGATGTGACAATAAATTTACATGTATTTGTTACACCAATTAGTTTTCTTTTACATTTTTAGATACGTAGGATTAAAGTTTGATCAAGTTAACCAACATCTTTTGGATTTAACAAGAGATAACAAACGTAGAATAAAGCGAGCTTGGGAAAATTCCATGCATCAACATAGATTTTCACAAGCTTCGAGCAACGAGTGGATAATATGGATCATAATGTAAGAGAGTTAACGTAAATTCTATTAATCATAGTTATTTGAGTAATAAAATTTAATATTGCGTTTAGACATCTCCATTCGGAGTTACGTAAAATATCTCGTGAGATAGATACGATATTTGGAGCACAGATGACTGTCAAAGTGGGATGTAATTTTTTTTGGCTAGCGCTCGACTTGCGTGAATTTCTCGCTATAATACTCATCAACAATTATGTCACATCTAATAAAATACTATTCACTATTATGATGTTAATCTGGCTTTCTCAAAACGTTTTGAAACTTTTCTTCATTATTTACGCATGCGAAACAGTCACCACCAAGGTATTAGTTCTGTATTCAGGCCCCAAAAATATTATCAAATTTTACATGATTTTCCTGAATTAAAAGAATCATTCAAATTTTATTTTGCATATTCCGACTTCAGGCGAATGCAACAGGAAATTTAATAAATAAAATGTCATACTCTACTTATGATGTTGAAGCACGTGAAAATGTAAGTCTTAATATTAGCTTATTCAAGGCTATTAAAATAAACTATGATTTAAATTTGAGCAAAAATAAAACAATTATAAATATATACATCAAAAGTAATTTATTATATTAATATAGATATCACAGCTTCTATTGCAAATAACTCAATCGCCAGTAAAATTCTACGGAATTGGACTTTTCCAATATGACTACAAATTTCTTTATGGGGTATGTTATAAATGCTTACCACAAACGTAATAATTTAGCACACACAATTAAATATACAATAATTATTTAGAAAGAAAAATTAATATCTTTCAGTTTAGTTCATCAATTACGACCATTGTAGTTTTGTTAATACAGTCGTACATAAATAAGCAAACATTTTAAAAAAATGACGATTAATACATCGTGATAATACAATGTTGTATAAATAATTTCAAGGAGCGTTGATAAATAATATATAGATTGTAACATACAAAATAATCTCTAAAAAATATTTTTAACAAAACTGTATATATTCTGGAGCTAAAAATGTATTTTAACAATGTTGTAGAAAGATACTGTATGGTAAAAGATAAACTATATATATATATATTTTTTTTTCTAGCTCTTTCTTAATACAATTATTTTTATATAAATTCGCAAAAATCTATATATTTTATCAAGAAACTTTTATCACACTATCATGATAAGTATTTTATAAATATTTCTTGTATCCATGTTATTCTATTATTACGTTTTTAAACAATATTCTTTAAAATCGACTCTATGTCGCTATTTAATAATATTTTTAGACACATGTAATAGTGTATTATGTACAAATTCTCGAATTAAAAAATAAAAGCAGAAATGTGTGTCAGTAAGTAACATTAATATTTGTATCGTAAATGTAGAAGAAGGCGACATATTTCTATCATCATTTCTGTTTCGATTAGTCGGTAGAAACTAATAACAGCAGTAGATAGATTATTCTAATATCTATGAGTGCCTCGACTGAAATTACAAAGATCCATTATATCATTACTGTACGATATGCAACTACCATAAACATACATCTTGTGGACAAAGAAATGCAGTTCGCAATGGTGTGCGCAATGACAAACAACATACGAATTGTTTTAACACCGCTTCTGATAATCTGTTTTGTGTGCGGTTTAAGGACTATCGA